TAACTACGTATTCGTTTTACCGTACGTACGTACAGGAAGTAGAGTAGTAGACATATAGAGAAGTTAGTAAATTAGTAGGGTAAAGTAGTAAGAATTCTACGTCTCTCTCTCTCTCTCTCTCTCTCTCTCTCTCTCATTAACAATAAATAAGACATAGGTGTACATACAAGTACACCTAAGGTGCATATAAACAAAGACACAAAACAGTGGTTAATCCTCATTGATGTGAATCAATGTGCGGGCTAAATAACGAGTCCTAGTTATAAGCTTCCGCATCCTCAAATAAAAGACACACAAACAGTCTGTCCCAGCAAGCCTACCTAATGGCATCAAGTGACTGCTATACCACAAGCAGAGTAATGGAGAATGATCGACACTCTCATCCCTCTAGAGATCCCCAGGCATCAATTTTCTGAAGTATCACTTCACCCAGTGGGTCCCATAAATGTTACCGACATACCCCTCAAATGGTTCAGAACCATGATACCCCTTATGGTCCCACACTCCCACAAGAGCTACAATCTAAGTTGAGCTTTAGATGGCCTTAGCGGAGTAGGGCCCATCGAGCAATTATCGTGCTTGAGAGTACACCCTCTTACATCAAATCCCAGGTCGAAATTGTGTACCTAAACCTATAAATTTTTGGAGCACAGAACCCAAGATACCACAGCATTCCAAACTCTCTCTAACTAGCACATGAATAAGTCCCAGAATAAACTATTACTCCTCTCCTTCAAATACCCAAGAATGTATCCAGAGAACACATATTCCAGGCCCTTATTAGCGCTGACAGAGGAGAGCAACAACATAACAGTGCAGCCACTGAGGACTGCAATCACCCACAACATATCAAGCAGTGCTCCAAACAAAACATAAGATGGATCTAAGGGGTGATGTAGGAGAATATACTTCGAGGACTCCTTAGCGACATGGGAGGCATATATTAGGAATTTGAATCCATGGTGCTGCAAGTGATCAATAATGAAGGCCTCACCTAGTGCCCCAACAATCAAAGGAACTTAAATGGAGATCTAAACATCAAAAGCATTGAGGGATTGGCACGTTGAAAAGTGCTGCACCCCACATTAGAAGAATTTAATATAAAGAATGCAAACGCTATTATTCCTTTTTCATATAATCATATCAATCCCTGAACAAGATAGAAATGGCCTTCAAAAAAAATACAAAAGAGTGAGCTTAATCCTACAACCTCATTGTCCTTTAGGCGTCTTCTAAACTCTAAAATAAGAGCACCGCATATTGCCCCTTATCTCTCAAACTAGTCATGGACGACACACCTAGATTAAAGATAGATAGCCTTAGAAAACATGACTGAGAAAAATTAACACCATACCAAACATCTCACCACAGTTGCACGACTTCCCTCCTCCCTCCTACACTCAAACCCCTTACAAAACTATTAAGGCTATAGATACCACAACACCCTTCACACTCCTGACACCCTAGAATACCAACCAAGCTCTCTCAACCCCCATTGAGCCTGCTACTATTGTACTTGTTCTAAATGATATGGGCAATAGGCCACATTCTACTTCTATCTGGAACAAACATTGAATGTCAATTTTCAAGCAGCACCGTGTTATCTCTTCTAAAGCATTTTTGCTTTTATGAGAAATCTTCTCAATCATTTGACCCCTGCACCTCCCAAGTCTTTAGGCTTGTAAACCTCTAAACATTTAAGTCATCGATCACCATTACCCTGCCAAAACCTTTTGAGGTTTCTCACTTTTTGAGCCACCAAAGCCAGAATCTGTGACATTTAATCAACTAGAATCTTGCTATGGCTACTACATCAATGAGGGCTACCCTCCAATGGAACAAGAAGAACAGGGTCTTCGATGGACCTAACTTCTTGGTCACTTCAATAGTACTTCACAATCACTAGGTCCTATAGGTTCTTGTTAGAATTTCTCATGCACATTTCCCAACCCAAGCACTTACTTTGGAGTGGCTCCACCTCATCAGCCTTGACAACAGGTCATCTATCTAGCTTTTGGTCCATGCCGATACCAAGTTACATTGCACGGATACGGGCACTTTTCTCAATGTCAAAATAGGTATGGGGCGACAGATTCCTCATGCCATGAAGAACAAGATTCAGTGACACAACTATATTATATAGAGACAAAAGAAATACAACATTATTTCTTATATTCCATCTCATCTAAATAGACAAGAAAAATTAAAAATGCCTTAGTAAGCTGAATTCACACATAGTCTCAAAGTTCATGTATCTCTGCTCAAAGCAAAAAAGGAAGATCAAACCTCTAAAATGATGGAGTCAACGGTTAGAGAAGAAGAAGAATCACGAAGAATCTGCCTTGATATGTGCACAAATGTTCAAAAAAGAGCAGGCGGGCACCTAGACTAGCCACCAAGGCGCCCGCCCAAGAACCACTCTCCCCCAAACAAAAAGGACAAAAGGGGTTTTTAGGACAGGACTTTAGGCCTAAGGGAGTTTTTAGAGCAATTTTTGATCCACTATAAGTCATTGTCACATAGACACAATAATTAATTGAGTATCAATGTGAATCAGAATCACCTAATCAACAAACCTGAAAAATACATAAGATTAAAGTATTAACTACTAACATAAGGAAAAAATTTAAATTTTTTAAGTTTTAAATTTAAATTTAAATTTAAAGTTACTAAGTTTAAAAATTTATAAATATATATATATATATA